TCCCCCCCCCCACCCATCATTGTGGCTAAGTTAATAATACACTGCTTGGTGGTCTTAGACTGAAATGCTAATTTGTTTAAATTAATTTTATGAGTTATTAAAAAGATGACACATTGGTCACAGTGATGAACCTAGGCTTGGTGCGGGGAGGTTGAGTGCTGGTGGCGGGGATGTGGTAAAGGGTATCACTGGTGGTGCATGTTTCCAGGGGGTGGATTTTCTGGTGGTGCACATTACCAGAGGATGGGGGTGGGTGATGCATGGTACCTTTTGTCTCACATTTATTTTACTAATTTGGGAGGGTGTCCATCATGGGAACAAGCTTGGAGCGGTGGCTACTTTACAACACACACAGGGACCATGGGGAACAAAAGTAGCCACCCTCCAGAAGTAAGGACAGTGTCAACACCAATTCATAGATGATTTGAGGATCTACAGCTGAGTGATACACAAATAAGATACATTTATGTTAATCGTTCAGGTACTTGAATGCATTTTTAGGATAACTCCTAATTTTAGTGTCACTTTAATCTAAACCCAATTGAAGTCTTTAGGGGGAGGGAACAAATGTTGAAAGCCAATTTTGGCTATTTTTAAGGTTTACAGGCAAGGGATTGCCAAACAAATGGCATGGCAAGTTGGACCATAAAAGAGTCCATCTTTTTATGTGACTGAAGATGACATTGGGAAACCATCAAACCTTTAAATTGCATGCGTGGGAGATGCCTTTAAACTGTATGTGGTTATATGTATGCAAACAAACTGTGTTATTATAAGCTTCTATTTTTCTAATGAGCAGATTTTAGAAGTTGTATACAGTATACCCTTCACCCTGTGAGACAGAGCTTTTGACATGCTGTCCGCACCTTGACTTCTCCAAATGACACAACAACACTACAGATAAATGGTTGTAATCATTTATCAGTGGAATCTCCTTGCTTGTTAAGATCCGGCTCTCATCACTCTCATTAGCACTCTAATTAGCAGACAGTCATTATTGGTTTGCATTTAATTACTCTAAGATTGCACAGAACAGGGGTCCTAACCGAACTACCCCTTACATATAGTGGGCATTTTTAGGGGGGGCAAGCTTAAGAAAAAAATACAACCCAGGAATGTGACATGTTCCAGCTGTCACTTTTATCTTCCCCCTTTTGATATATTATGCGTATTTATTTCTGTATTGCAGTCAGGCTGCAAGTACAGTACTAAATACACGCTTCTTTTTGTGTATTTTTACATACTAAGTGCTGCAGGAAGGGTTCAAATAGACTAGCAGCAGAATGCTGTAGAGTCAGACCTCTGCTCTCACACACAAGCAGGGGCCTGGTCTTCAGCATTCCAAAAACTCCCCCTGAATACTGTTCCAATCAACAGTGCTCTAGCTCCCTGAGCAATGCTGTTGATTGGAGCAGTGTGCTGGGGGCAGGGGTGGGGGGGATGCAGATATTCCCTTACTTCCTGCCCAGATAGAAGACTATCTGGAAGGAGTTTGCATTCTCTCCCTGTGCTTGTGTGGGTTTCCTCCGGGTACTCCACTTTCCACCCACACTCCAAAGACATTCTGGAAGGTTCATTGGCTCCTGTCTAAATTGGTCCTGTATGCATGTAAGATAGGGA